AAATATTAAAGTTCTTTATAATATGACTAATAGACCCGGCACACACGATGGCACACATGAAAATAATAATCGGGATAAAAGCTATCCTATCTTTTAAGTTTGAACAAATCACTTGAAAAAAAATACCTTAAAATCGGATAAAGAGTTATATTAACTAGCATTGCCCGCGGCTCCGCCCGCTTTCAGATAACCAAAAACCAAATTCTTAGGTTTTACATATTGGTATACTCTTACATTGCAGTTTTTGTATATTTTCTCAGAAGTGAGATATTTTCCCGTGGTAAAAAGTATCCTATATCTTAACCCGGATAACCAACTATCATCATACCAAATTTCATCAAAATCCGTCCAGTGGTTTTACCATGATGCGGTAACAGACAGACAGACAAAAATTCTAAAAATTATAGGTTCGGCCTCGGTATCGATAATAATGTCTATTTCAATAAGATTTTCCAAAAAATATTTAATGTACAGATTCGGCTAGTTACAATTGTATTATTATGTATAGGTACATTACTTATAATAAAGATATTGAAAACCTAACAAGTATACATTTTAAATATATTATTTCAAATCGTTTTTATTTTTCAAGTAAGTAAATCATTTAAAAAACAAAATCTTCAATAGTTAAAATAACTTAAATACTTACTCTTTATACGAAGAGAAAAAAGAAAATAATATCTAGATATAAATAAGCCATTACTGTAATAGAAACTTTACGGAAGTTGTTCTAAACGAAGTTTCTCAATCGATTGAAATCGTTCGTGTATCGAATAATGCAATCTGTTAAGGAATCCGTGTACAAATATATGTATAACTAAATATTAACTTTTTTTAATTTATATTAATAATAATGAATGTAATAATTACTTATTAACTAAAAAGATAACAAGAATTTCATTCAACACTAAAAATAATTATAACGCTGCTGTTATCCGACATCATTGCCATTTTCACGATTTTTAATTATTCTTATTTTATTTTTGCGTGAAAATGGGTTACAACTGGCAACCATATCGTACCCGATTGGCATGTACAATGTACATACTCACAAAAAAACAGCATACCAAATTGACTACGTCTTCTTTTAAGCCACTCAAAAATATAATGTAATTCAAATAATAAATAAAATTTTATATCCACTTTAAGTTATTTTTTTAATAACTATATCTTAAAGAAATGTCATATTTTTAAGTTATTAATAATTTTGAAAATATGACCTTCATAGGTCTGAATACCACTTTAAAATTATATTATTTTTTTTCTAAATTATATCGTGCATCATACAATTAAATGTTAAATCAAAATACAGTTTAGATCGATCGTCCTATCCAATCAATGTATGTACATAGGAATGTACTAACAAGCGGATATGGTCTCTTGTCCACGTTAAACCTTTACCCGCTGCAAAAGCATACGTTCGTCTATACTCTATATATTATAATAATAATTATTTTTTTTACTCAAACAATCTTTATCAATACTTACACACAACAAAATATAATAAAATTCTGAGTCGAAGAATCTGTACATTAAATTTTTTTGGAAAATCTTATCGAAATAGTAATTATTATAGATACAGAGGCGGAATCTATAGTTTTTAGAATTTTTTGTGTATCTGTCTGTCTGGGAACGCATCATGAGAAAACCACTGGACCGATTTTGATGAATTTTGGTACGATGATAACTGGTTTTGCGGATCAACATATAGGATACTTTTTACTGCGAGAAAATATATCGTCTCTGAGAAGTCTATACTAAACTTCAAAACATAACGTGGGGCATACCCGAGCAGAGAAAGGGTGAGTCGCTAATTTCGTATAGTAGTAGTATGTAGTAAATATACTATAAAATTATATACGTGCATATTTTGTGATAATATGCGATAGGCACAAAATAAATACTAGGAATGAGATAAACTTATACAAGCCTGATACATCAAGCTTTCGTCTTCAAAAATTAGTCTTTTATAGGGCAAGGTGTATATATTGTCTTTGCATAGTATAAAATGAAGTCGCTTCCGCTGTCTGTTCGCTTAGATCTTTACTACTCAACAGATTTTAATACAGTTTTCAGCAATAGATAGTGATTCAAGAGGAAGGTTTATATGTATAATACATGCATATTATAGTACAGAAAAGCCGAGAAATTCACAAGATTTGTATTTCATACTAACCGTTAAAACGTACCTAGGGACGAACCCGAGCGAAGCGAGGGTGAGTGGCTAGTAATATAATAAAATTCCACACTCCATATTGAGCTTGCGACTTAAATAATTTAAATTAAAAATTAAATATATACTATTGAACAAAGCATATTATTTCGTCACAAAATACTTTACAGATGTAAATGGGATTACCTTTAGTTGATACTAACACAGAATAGGGATATAATTATTGTATTGCAATATTGTAAACTTTTTAAAAAAAACAGCAACTGTTGAGTTTATCGCCGGCTCTTCTCAGCAGAACTGCCATCCGAGCCGGTGGTAAGGACTTACATACTGATATATAATTTAAATATGTAAAATTGACTATTCAAAAGCCTGCTTGTAAAAGTATATTTGAATGAAGTATAATATTGTTAGATTTGAGTTGATACCTTAAATTGTATTGCGCTAAGTAGCAATCATCCTTAATTTTGCTTTCGTGCCTCTTTTAATTTTTTTCACTTAATTTTATAAAAGTAGGTATATACTTATACACGTATATGTTAGTATTTAATCTATACATATAATAAAATGCTTAGTCGAATCTATTCATTAAATATTTTTTGGACAATTTTATTGAAATAGTATTAACGATTCGGAGGCCGATACTATAATTTTTTAGAATTTTTGTCTATGTCTGTCTGGGAACGCATCACGAGAAACCCACAAGACATGTTTTAGTGAAATTTGGTATGATGATAGCTGATTATCCTGGTCAACATATGGAATATTTTTTATAGCGTTAAAATATCTCATCTCTGAGAAATCTATACTAACCGTTAAAAAGTACCTAGGGGCGAATACGAGCGAAGCGAGATCGACTCGGTAGTTTTAAATAAAATTTTAACTTATAACATATTAAGCAATAAACTAAAAAAAAAACTTAATCGAAAACACTAACATTTAGGTAATCTAGATTAGCATTAGTCCCGACAAAGAAAGCACGTAACCCTTCGTTCGAGATATGTACCAGATTGTAACATACTATCGGTGCATCAAAGACTCCGTGACTGAAGATCCGACTGACAACTTGTATGCGCAATGACAGCTTTTAGATACAATTTAGTCTTATTAATGTCTTAGATATACAAAAAGTTTAGCTATGCCTAGTAACATAGACTAAACTTTAACTGCCGCACGTTTACGATGAATTGTATGAAGATATGGACAAACGTTTCATATTATAACTTGAGGTCAATTCGCTTTTTTTTAATAAAGAGGTTGGTTTTCAAATATTATATTCTATTATTTAAAGCCTATTTTTTTAATCGCCAATATAAAATTAATTAGTTTAATTCTTTTCATAATACATAAATAACAAATCGATTAAGTTATAAAATTGGTTAAATTTATTTCAGTTATTAAATTGTAATATAATACGTAAATTCCGAATAAATAGCGTTGTTGCCAATTATCATTATAAGGATGCGAAATCTGCAGTCCGTAAGTTATTAAAATTCTTCTTAAGACGACTAGAAAAATCCTGTTTGTAACAGACACCTTCCTACGCAAATCAATTGATTTGTTAAAATAGCTAGCGGCAAACCAATCTATATTTTTTATTTCTATCTTCTACCTTTATACATTTTGTTCCTTAATTATTGCATAAATACTGGTAATATATGTTTAAAAAAATATTGTTCAGTAAACGTTAAGAAAAAAAAAATTAATTTAAAATACTGCGCTTTAAATATTTTTAGTTACTTATAAAAATTATTAAAGCCAATAATATTTTTTTAAATATATTTTGGAAGTAGCGTTTGTTTGATACAAGTGGCGCCATCTATTGACCCATGTTAATAACTTGTCATGACAGATGACTCAAATTAAACTAAAATAAAATTAAAATAGCATTAATCAACTTATTACGAATAATGGAAAATATATTTTACTATAAGAAATAAAGCGATAGTGGTCTCAATGGAAAAACCAATGTCAACATACTCACAAAATATCGTCTTAAATTATCAGCTGACATCTGTCAAAACTTTCTTCACAAATGCTCACAAAAACACATAAAAATCGGTCAAAACACACATTTTTAACTAATTCTACCTGGAAATAAGCTTAATAATGATAAAATATGCATTAACACACACATTTAGCAATATTCCAGTGGTTATATTTATTGCCTGACATAACCTAAATGTATGAAGTAAAACTTATTTTTTGATATTAAGCCCATAAAGAAATAATTTTTCCAGTATAATTTCAAGTTTTAATATTGGTTGATAATTGCTTTGACATTAAATAATAGAAAAATAAACCTAAGCTTTGCATTTTCTTTAAAAAAAGCTTAATCAAATGCAACTACAGTCAAGTATTTACAAGGTGCAACTACAGTTTGAAAAATAATACTTATTTTAGTATTTTGACTGTTGTCTAATGTGCACTTTTCTACATAAAAATATTATATTTGAATTATATGATCTGAAACTTATAACAGCTAAGTCGCTTGAATACTATGTTATCAATATAAATCAAATAAAAATTAGAATATAATATTTGTTTAATGTTATATTGAAGATGTTATTTCAATTTCCTTTATATTCAAATCTGATTTAATTTAATTGATTAGTTTTGCACCTAGATGAGCCTACAAAAATACTTTACCAACTATTACCGGGAAATTTATATCATATGGCTCGGCTAAGTTATATTATTGGACACAGCTTAGCCTTTTCCACAATATATTCTACAGGGCAATAAATTACACTTTCACACATTTTAGTGACCATTATGCATAGGCCAACATTATGGAATATTGCCAAAAGTGGTCTCTGCGACCCACCTTCTTCATGATTCCTGTCTTCCGCTTCGAGAAAGTAGTGTACCGCCGCAGTTTGTTATCTATGTATTCCATTTTGATTTTCACACGACCCTTCGTCTTTTTGCCGTTAGACGGTGGTGATTTCTTAGGCTGGAGAGAAGCATAGCCGTCATCTGCAATGTCCGGCATCGCGCAGTGCTCAAGGCCGAGGCTCTGCGAGGGTCTCTCATCGTAGCACTGGTCGGAGGGACGTTTGACTCCTGCTCTAGGCACCGGACAGGACTGCATGCCCGGTCTTAGGCCTCCGCCGCTCAGGGAGCTCGGCGGTCGGCCTGCTCCATACATATCCGGCACATCTCCTAGGAGTCCCATACCATAAGGCGACCCGAAGCGGGGCTCCCGCGCTCCGCCGGGCGCGTCCATTATAACCTCGCAGTACGCCACAGTAACCGGTGCGCACACGCGCTACACACACCTCACCGTTCGAACGCCGAACGGAGACTGACCGAAAACGCGAAAGAACCGAGGGCGGGACTGACGGCTCGGCCGCTCGGACCGCGACTGACTTCGCGGCGTTGCGTCCCGCGCACCTCGACCGCTAGCCGTCTCGCTCTAACACGCGCGCACAGCGACCCCGCGACAAGGACAGCAACACCGAGCGCGACGTAACCCGACACATCCGCAACCGGGAACCCGCGAACGTTTCAGTGCCCGAAATCTGTATTAAAATAGAGCTTTTATTTTGAGTTTATTTCGTAAATAGAAATAATAGAGTCGGAAGCGCGAGAGAGCGCGCTGCGGTCGGTGGGCCGGCCTCAAGCCGTATTTAGACTCGATCCGTGCCAAATATGGCAATGGCGGTCAAATGGGGGCCACTGAAATCCCTCCTACTCGCAGCTGGCGATTTTCATGTCTAATAATTAAAATTGTCACGTTCCTCATTGTGCATTACATACATATGCGTTGACATATTATGCCTTTAGATAGATACTAATGCTACAGGTCGGTCAAAGAGATATAGAGTTAGTTTTTGTGGTCGATTTTCCAGTCTAATGTTCGTTTAAAATACAATGCGAAGGAAACATATCGAATGGCGGCTTGTTCTATTTTGTTATTAAAAATATAGCGGTGATGGTGTTTAGAGGAAACTTTTAATAAGATTACGAAATACGGCTTTAAATAGAAATAGGTATAATATGTGAATCTGTAGTGGATTTTTTATGGAAAACTAATAGTTCATAATATGGAAAGGACAATAAAATATTTTACAGGACACGTTTAAAATGTGAGATTCACACATCGTAAACAGAAAACGGCAATTTTCCTAATATGTCACATATTTTTTAACTGTATAAATTGACGCTATTTTTATTTACATATAAAATTCGCCAAGAAAAATGGAAAACGCTAATTTTATATCAGTTTTATAGCATTGTTAGAGCATCTGTTAGTTGCCTTGTAGTTCGCCCACTGAATATTGGACATTTTAATTTGCTAATTTTCCATTTTTAGACTATTTTATGACAACAGCGTTCTTTGACCCGTACGGAACTTCATAATAAAATAATTATATTATATTTGAGAAAAGTTGCTTTCACCGGTTCATTGAAATCTTTAAGACCTAATAAAGGAACTGTATAGGTAGATACAACTAGATAAAGAAAAATACATTCAAAAAGATATATATCGCCATAATTTTTATTTTGAATGTTTTTTATGTCCCTACCTACCGAACGTAACCTATGTTCCTATACCACCACCCTACCCAAAAATCCTTCTGAATCCGTATTCTTATTAGTATAGTAAAAAATATTAATTTATTACTTTCTTAGATATACGCGAATATTTGACATTTTAAATAAACCTATCTTTTCGGATTATTTCGCGGATTTATTTTGATTTTTGATTCCCGACGTTTCGAATGCTTTACAGCAATCATGGTCACGGGAGAGACTAGGGTTTTAAACTCCTCAAAGGCATTATATACTTGCGACACACAGCCTACCCACAAAATAACATTCGTTTTTGTTATTTTATACTTTTAGAAAAGATAGTTTTATTTAAAATGTCAAATATTCGCGTAAATCTAAGAAAGACCGTATTCTTAAATTAACACATAATTAACTTAAGTTATTAAAGATACATATTATAAATGTGTTTTCATTTGCCACTTACATGATAATTTAAAAAGCAAAATTAACAGTTTGAAATGTTATTGTTTTAGACGTCTGTTTTTTATTTTTTTATTTTGTAACATTTTACTACGTGATTCGTTTTCCGCCAATATGACATTTTTTATTTTTTATTAAATATATTAAGATTCACCAGTGGTATTTTTTATAAATGTTTCAGTAAAAATTATACCATATTACAAAGTTCTTATTGCTAAATGCATTACCATTAAAGGTGAATACCGCATGCAAAAATATGTAAAGAATTCTATGATCTATATATACATACTTTTATTGTTTATTTATATATATTAGGTATCTACCAAAAGAAAACTTAATTGATATAAAATTGTATCGCAATTATTAATACCATTTTCATAAGCTTCGATTCTAAAAATAACTAAGTAACAGTACTAACTGTTAATATTAAAATTTGACCTACAAAAGAAAGGAGGTACCTGAAGCCTATTACATGGAAGAAAACAAAGTGCCTACCTCAAAAAAGTAGAAATCACTCAATTCGAGTGTATGTGTGTTTGTTTTCAGTAATAATATTATTTTTATGCCTAGGTTTTTATGAATATAACCTAAAATGCTAAAATTCACTAAAACAAGTGGACTAAGTACCTACAGACATCATAATCGTTTTTTATGGCAACGATAACTATGACTAATTAATTAAATTATATACAAACGTAGCCACAATTTGAAATCATTTATAACCTTCATAACGTAAAAGGAGTATCTATTTCATAATTGTCACTAATAACTCGTTTCCTTTTAGTTAGATACGAGTGATTTAATAATTTTGGTCTAAATTTAATACACTTAGTAAAATTATATAAAGCATGACGTTATCCATTGATATTTTTCCATTTTTTTTTACAAAATATTTGCGACCTGCCTGATGGAAGGCAAAATTTTTTTTCATTACTATTTATTCTACAAACTTTGTAGAAAATGTGACACTCATGACGAGGTCTTCAATTTTCAAATATGGGATTGACAAAATTGTATTTTTATTTTTTTTATATTTTTACTTGACAACCCAACAAACAGACATACCTACTGGGTGTATGTTATAGAAAATTATCTCATTTTATATGAAATTGGCTAATTATTTCACATTAATAAAATAAATTATCAATTTCGTACAAGGAAAATTAATGTGGATGATTACATTACTATTATAAATGCATTTTGTCATGTGTCTGAATATTTAATTATCTTTTTACGCTCGGCGGATTTGGATGAAATTTAGACGCAGATAGACCTATAACTTTTTTTAATGTTGGGAAATGCATCCAGGTATACCATCTATATACAAGCAGGTGTGTATGTGGGACTCACCTGCTAGAAAAGCCAGTAGGTACTACCCAATAAAATTCAACAGAACCTCCCCCATCTTAATGGGGCGTAGCAGGATCGCTTACGCACTCAACCACGACGCCCCGACGGCAGGTCTGCCGAACTAGACCACAACAACCATGGGGTTGCTTCGTCGGTCCACTCTGCTGTCAGAGAAATACCAGGAACAACCCACATTGTACACCACCCACCGATGTAGGCCTCCTTCAGTGTGTCTCTTGACTTCACGCCCGGCCGGATATCCGGACGCTAATGAGCCCCCCCTCTCCCCACCCCTCCCCCTCCCCCTCTCCCCACCCCTCCCCCTCCCCCTCTCCCCACCCCTCTCCCCACCCCTCCCCCTCCCCCTCCCCCTCTCCCCACCCCTCCCCCTCCCCCTCTCCCCACCACGACAAGGTGAACACACATCAGGGGGAAGATAGAGCTAAGACCTGGACCAACACATGGGCTACTGTTAGGTACCGAGGAACGCACCCTTAAAGTAAGCACATTTCATACATCCGGTTACTCAGCGAATGGGCTTTTCAATGTGTATCAAACAAAATCCGATATAGGCGAAGTTGTGACTCATAATTAACATGGTTTTGACTGACATACAAAATAACTATGAGTCGTCAGACTTCATAATATATACCTACTTTTGTGTTATATTTCATACTATTATATGTTTTTTTAATTGTTTGTTTGTATGTACCTAACTAAGTAACAATCTCTGGTACTTCTGAATCTATTCTATTATTATTTTTTTGTTATAACTTCACTAATAAATAGGGAAAGTTCTAAGATCAATATAGGTATCATAAATTATCGACATAATAAATTATCGAAATTAGTTAATATTATTATATTTTCTGTTGTTGTTAAAAGACAACGTTGCTTACCTATTAACCGACTTCAAAAAAAAAGATTCTTCATCCAGTTGTGTATTTTAATTAATATGTTATTTTTCGATTTTTTCGAAGAAGAAAGTTTTTTAATAACATATTCGATTAAGCAATTTATTTAAAAAAATATATTCATTGTTGATTTTTAAAAAAACCGCTCGACCGTTTTTGATAAAATTTAAATGGGTGGTCCCTTCGAAATAAAAAAAAATCCAAATCGGTTTAGGCGTTTTCAAGTAATCCGGTGAACATACATAAAAAAAGAAAAAAAAAGATTCCGACGAATTGAGAACCTCCTCCTTTTTGGAAGTCGGTTAATAATCTCTACAGATGCTGATTTCATATTTAACATAAAAGTTGGCCCATACATAACTAATAAGCATTCAGTCGTCAGGTATATTTTATCTCGGAAAATTAAACGTTTCCCACGGGACAGGGGATAAAAGTTTTACGATAATTCCGTTAGTGCCTACGCGGAATATACTTAGGTAACGGAGTACCACGCACTTAAGTAAGTAGACAAAGAAGGCCAGAAGTACCTAAACTTACCATTTAAGTTAATAATGTGTCAACATTTATAATGTTGGTACTGTGAGTTTGTACTGAAATTGTTATGTATTCTTTAAAAGTTATTTTGAAGTATCAATCAAGTAAGTGTACCCGTAGAAAAAAGTATTTAAATATATTAGTAGTTTTTACCACTTTAGGTATCACACCTCCAGGTAAATTTCTAAGAAATTAATTGAATTTCTAAGAAATCTATTGTTAACTGACACGCCGGCGTGTCCACGGTCGTGGAGGGAATAAGTGCTGAAATATTATTGCCATACATAACTTATATTATTCTTATTTTATCTTAAGTAGTTAAATTAGTGCCTAAACACTGTTCTCTATTATAAGGTATCTCAGAAGCCAATAAACTTTCGATATGTTCAGACTCTCACACATACTCTTGTCTCTTACTACTATTACCTACTTATAAATGATAAATTGTTTTTGT